AGGCCCTAGGTTTGATCCTCTGCACCACATAAAAATAAATAAATAAAATAAAGGCACTGTGTCCAACTACACATAAAAAATAAATATTAAAAAAAAAGATAAATAAAAAGGGCTGAGGATTGGCTGGGGTTGTGGTTCAGAGGTAGAGCACTTATCTATCATGTGCGAGGCACTGGTTTCAATTCTCAGCACCACATATAAATTAGCAAATAAAATAAAGGCTGGGGATGTGGCTCAGTGGTTAAGCAACCCTGAGTTCAATCCCCAGTACCTAAATAAATAAATGGCAAACAGCATCACCCCGGTATCCTGCATATAGCCCTCCTCTCCCTACATGTCTTGGTATGAACCCTGATGGCCACCTGAAATCTGGTCTCAGCTGGTCTCTAAGCCATAGCTCTATTCTCCCTAAGAGCGCATATCCCATTTACCCAAACTTCCCACACTGGAAGAAGTCACCCAACTAGCTTCTGAGTCCATGTCTTACTCAGCTCAGGGTACTCCCCCTGCTGAGGAAACATTTCCTCACCTGCATCTGGTTGACTTCTTTATAATAAAGCTACTGCCACTTCTTTTTTTTAGAGAGAGAGAAAGAAATATTTTTTTTAATTTATTTATTTTTTATTTATTATTTTTTAGTTCTTGGCGGACACAACATCTTTGTCGGTATGTGGTGCTGAGGATCGAACCCAGGCCGCACGCATGGCAGACAGGGTAATCAGACTCTATATACTAGGGAAACTTAACCATCTACCCATTTACTCTGAGTTTTTCTGGTCCTAGAGGTATATGTCCCAAATGTAGTATCAAGACCTAGAGTAGTCTGAGCACAGGACTCCTTTTAGGGGTTCTAATGTTCTTTACAGACTAAGTAAGCTGGGCTGTAAAGGAAAGTCCTCTCTGACCGTCGCAGACATCACTATCTCAGAATGAGAGCTGGACTATAAACCAGGCGACAGACCCTTGAAGACAAAATGCCTCAAGCAAAAAGTAAAAAGGTTAAAGAAACAAATGTTCTGGGAGGGGAAGTAACACAATGTAGAAAAAAATTATGTGAAACATATTATCAAAGGGATTTTGAGTTAAGTTCCAACCCTATCATTTTGCTGAATAACACTATGAAGTCATATGAAACATGGTTCCTCTGCTACCCTCAAGGACTCTAGCAGTGGAGAGATTTAAGAAAATTAATGGAGCCCCAGCTACACTAATAGAACCAGGTCTGTTATGGGTACATTTTGGATCTCCTTTCCCTGAGCCAATGGTGAAAAACAAAACTTATTTGGGATACTCAGATATAAAAATTAAAGGGGACTTCAGAAATTCCTATTATAAATGGAATTCCTCTCTTAAACTGCACTGACTAGCACAAGATGGTATAAGTCTTGATGGTACTGGGCAAGCAGCCCCTGGGTCACTAGGCACTGGGGCCAGGAGCCAGGACCTAGCCATGAAGAAAAAAGTTTGCTGGCTCCCTCTCCTGTGTTGTGCAACCCTGATTGCAGCTTCTGCTCTAGTAGTCAGAGGGCCAATTTATTATTTATTATTGTTGTTGTTATTATTATTTGCAATGCTAGGAATTGAACCCAGGGCATGTTAGGCAAGTACTCTACCACTGAAACCATCCTGAGCCCTATAGGACCAATTTAATAAAAGGTAGAGATTAAAAGGCCACAAAGGACTTTATAAATCCTCAGTTTGGGGTTCAAATGGAAAACAGAGCTAAAATTAATCCTCGAAACTTACGCAGATTGCAGTCAAGGACCACTTTTCAGGGTTATTTCTATCTGTAGCTTTCTTGAACCATAGCCACATCCATATTTAGTGAAAAAGATGGAAGATTAGGAAGCTAAACACAGCCAGACAATTAGCTGAGGAAAAAAAAAAAAAAGAAAACCCTTAAAAATCAACCATTAAGACTTCTATTGTGTAAAAAAAAAAAAAAAAAAAAAAAAAAAAGACTTCTATTGTAAAGTGAGTGCTGTGGTGCATGCCAGCAATCCCAGCTATTCAGGAGACTGAGAAAGGAGGATCTTGAGTTCAAGGTCAGTCTGGGCAATTTAAGGAAGACCCTATGGAAAGGGAAAGGAGGGGTAGGGGTGGGGGGGCAACGGGAAAAAAAATGGCTGGAGATGTGGGTCAATGGTGAAGTGCTTACCTAGCATATATATGCAAGGCCCTGGGTTCAATCCCCAGTACTGATAAAAAAAATTTGTAGACAAGATGACATAAGCCCACTAAGGCCTGTCTCTCCACTGATTACAGTGAAAATCTATGGACAGAATATAAAAGCAATAGCCTGAGGACTCTGTAAAGCAAGCCAAAGCAGGTGGATTGAGGAAAACAACAGATAAAGAACAACTGGGGAGAGTATGAAAATGAATTTCTTACCCACGCTCCTCTTAGGTCCTTGGACCTAGGGTGGCTCACAGGTAGTTAAGAAAACTTCAAGAGAAATCCGGTGTGAAAATCCAGATGAATTTCCTAACTCAAGAGCAACTCCCCAGCAGAGAAACAGCAGCAGGAAGAGACCTTCAGGTGCAAAGTGCCCCATTTCCCTTTCTTTGCTCTCTCCCTGCTGCACCCCAAGGGTAGCCCCAGTGACAACCACACCAGCAGAGAAAACACACTGCCACTGAGCAAATCAAACCATCATGCAAAATAAGACCCAAAGCAGCCCAGACTTCAGAAACTGAGCAGATGCGGCAATCCTTGCTCTTGGAAGGTAGATTGGCCTGAGGTCTGAGCCTAAGTGAGCTGACTGCTCACTCCAATAGGAAGAATAACATCGACCAGAGGCTTAACAGAAGTCAGAGACTCAACTACTTAAATATAATATTTTAAATGCCCAGGACACTACTTAAAATTATCCCAACCAGGAAGATGTGACTCATTCTCGCACATGTGAAGCACTGGGTTCGAACCTCAGCGCCACATAAAAATAAAGATATCGTTCCAGGTATAACTAAAAATATTTTTTAAAAAAATGAGTTGGGTGCCTACAATCCTAGCCACTTGGGAGGCTGAAGCAGGAGGATCATGACTTACCAAGACGCTCAGCAACTTAACAAGACCCTGCCTCAAATAAATAAATAAATAAATAAATAGGACTGAGGGCACAGCTCAGTGGTAAAGAACTGCTGGGCTCAATCCCTAGTACCAACAAATAAATAAATATGGGGTTATCTTTTTTGGTACTGGGGATTGAACCCAGGGGTACTTAACAACTGAGCCCCAGCCCCTTTTTTGTATTTTATGTAGGGTCTCGCTAAGTTCCTCAGGAATTCAATAACTTGCTGTGGCTGGCAAGTATACAAGTATACATCACTGGATGTTGAATAAACAAGATATGGTTTATATATAACATGGAATATCATTCAGCCTTGAAGAAAAAAAAAGTGTCCACACAAGCAACAACACAACACCCCTTGAAAACACTAAGCTGAACAAGCCAGGCACAAGGACAAACACTGCACACACGCACTCCCTGGAGGGACTCAGGGATCCTCAGGTGCAGAGACAGATGCAAAGTGACAGCTGCCAGGGGCTAGGAGGGCAGGGGTCCTGTTTAAACAGGTAGAACTCTGGCTTTGAAAGATGGAAACTGTTTTGTGGATAGATGGTAGTGAAAACTGTACAGTGAGAATACATTTACTACCCCTAACACCCACCTAAAAACAGTTAAAATGGTGAAAAAATAAGGGAGATTAAACAATACTCATACTATATGATTCTACTTATATGAAGGAGTCAAATTCACAAAAATAGAAAGAAGAATGAAGGTTCAGGGAGAGGGAAGGAGCAAATGGGGAGCTGTTTAAGATACACAGAATTTCAGTTTCAGAAGATGAGAAAGTTCTAGATATTGGCTATATAATACTTATCAATATTATACTTAAAGTGGTTAGTATTATGTATATTTTACCATAATAAAAAATAAAATATATATAACACACACACACACATGCAAGATGTTTGTCTTCAGAGTTCTTTTCAAGGAGAGAGGTCAGGCGAGGAGCGTTCTTAGTTTACCGGTTGTGTAGCAACTGTGTGCCAGAAATAACACTACACTGTCCCTCCAAAAGAAAATCATCCATTATCCAGAATGATACAACAAAAGCTACTGGAATTCATCAGCACTAGTATTAAAATCAATGATATTTTGGACCCCACCATAAGCTTCAGTGAGTTACTATCTTCACGGTTTCCAGGGACTGGATGATAAAACTGATTGCTTCTATGCTGTCTGCAGAAAACAMTGCTTTTCTGCCTTCTTATTGTTGTCCTAGCAGGATCCCTGTCCAATCACCCGCCCTCCCCCTCATGGAACCCTGGACTTCCCATGGCCCTCCCCCAACTTCACTCTTTCCCAGCAGGAGGCAGTCAGTCTGAACCAGGCCCAAATACCCTAAAAGAATTTAGAGATGACATCCTTAAAGGCCTCACCCATATGCTAGTCAGCCATGAATGGGTAAGCAGAGGAGCAGGAAGACCCCTGAAGACCACAGGGAGCCTTACCTGACAGACAATCCCTTGAAGATAGGAGATACCTGTGTTAAACCCTCCCAGTCTTAACTGATAAAAAACTAGTGCTGGGGTGGTGTAGAAAACTTAAGTAGTTTTTTTCTCATGTAAACTCGATTTATAGTAATGTTAATTTTTATAAGCTGAAAGACCAAAAGTAACTGGACACAGCAAGAGCTGAGAGAACAGCACTTTTGCCTCATATCAACCCAAGTATCAAATGACCTTACTGTGAACCTTTCAATCCAATCTGGCCTGATCACTGGGGAGGAAGTAGACAGTTAGGCCATGTGAACTGGGACCCCAAGAAGGACTTTGAGACAAACATGAGGTTCTGTCCCTGCTCCCGAAGCACTTGTACACCTCTTAGCTGTCTTATCCCAGGGTGTTGTAGCCACACAGTAGTAAGGGCAGCCCTGGGAAGCCTTCACTTTCACCACGTGTCCCTCTTGTCCACTCGGCTGGTCTTCACTTACTTGGTCAACTTGTGGCTTTTCATTGCTGTAAGAAATTCTCTGACAATTTCAGGACTCTGGTGTCTGCACGGTGTTTTTGATATGTATTTTAGCGTCTACAACAAAAAACAAAAAACAAAGAAACCTACTGAGAAAAAGGGAGCAATGGCTAAAAATTAGTATTCTGAAATTTTGTTTTAAGAATCCTCTATAAATAAATGTCTTCAGAAAAACCAATCTTCATATGATAGGAAGGGGGAGTGTGAAGTTGAACAGGAGAAATCAACAAAATTTTAGAAGAAAATTCATTCCATTTTTAAAAAGAGAAACAAAAACTCAACCTGACAATTATGTTACCATATTTCTGACAAAAAAAAAAAAAATGTTTTTAAAAGAGGGAACCCGAAGAATAAAATCACCATAAGACTCTATGGATTGTACAGGAAAAAACAAACTCAAACTCAGTTTCTTGAAAACGTCCAACGCGTTTCTGACACAGGGTACATGTGGTTTTTCCTGCTACCAAGTACGCAAGGCTACATCAGCAGTGGACACCACTGGGTGTCCCCCAATCCAACATTCTGATGCTGCCTACTGGAGGGAGCCTCGGGCCTCAGACTGAGGGCTCGACCCTGCAGGCCAGCTCTCCAAACCCCAGACTGCTCGGCTGTTGTTTTCCAGGGTAACAGGCCTGAGTCTGTTAGAAGGGAGAGAGCGGGTCCTCTCAGAGAGGAGAGGGACAGAAGGCCTTCTGCCTTCCAGTGTTGCCGGGGGTCAGAGCAGTTTCCAGGGAGCTCTGCCCAGGCCCATCTTTTTACTTTTGACTGACAGCATACTAGCTGCCTGGATTGACCACCTGCCTGTCTCTAGGAGAGGATGGTGTGGTGCTCAGAGTCGGGGACTTTACGAAAACTGACTCYTCCTGCTTTTGCCTCAGTTTCCTGCCCCCTTTAAAAGGCCCTCAGCAAGCTTTCTTTGAGAGGGTCTTGATGTTTTAGTTGCCAAGGTGATTGGGGGCTGAGATAAGGGAAGGTCCACGCCACGTGATAGAATGTGACAAGACCCTGAAACAGCTTTTCTGCTGGGAATGTGACCTTGGCTGAAAGGTCACATTCCCGGCATAGAGAGCCTCCAGGTGCTTATCAGGTAAGGCTCCCTGTGGTTTTCAACAGCCCTTGCCTTTTCCCTGCTCACCCCTTCATAAGCCCAGGGTTGTTTTATCTGWGCCTCTAACAGTCTGGCTAGAAATTCAGGTTGCCACAACCCTCCTTGGGTTCCATTAATTTGCTGGATTGGCTTACAGAACCCAGGAAACACTTAATGTTTAGTTTATTATAAAGGATAAAAGAAAAGAGATTAAAAATTACACAGAGGAAGRCACAAGAGGAGGGGCAGGGAGCTCTCTATGGCACTCCCCTCCAGGAAGCTGCAGTCGGCTTTTGGAACCTCCAAATCTTATCCTTCTGGGTTTTTATGGACGCTTCACTACATAGGCATAACTGATGAACACACAGGCCACTGGGGATCAACTACCCTTCAGTTCTTCTCTCTTCCCCACAGCCAGTGTAGGCTGAAGGTCTCAGCCCCCAATCCTGCCTTGGGGTTCCTGGTGATCAGCCCCATTCTTAAGCCACCTAGAGGACACAGATATCAGTCAACTCATTAGCATACAAAAATAATCTTCAGGGAGTCCAGAGGATTTTGAGTTGTTTAGAAACAGAGATGAAGACCAAATATGTATTTCCCACTATCACAGGATATATGCAATTGAATAAATAACAGACAACTTTTCTTATAGAAAAAAGGAAGGGGGAAAATCACCATTAGGCAATTGTACCTCAGTTGATAATCACTGCAGGAAAGACCCCTTGATGAATACTAAGTTAACTGTCAAAAGTTAAGGGTCAGGTAGACATCTGCACACCTCAGAGCAATTCTCCAAACACCTGCTAATGCTGTGCTGGTTCTAACACAACCCAATTCTTTGATGCTCCCCTTCAAGAGGGGATGCTTAATCCCCTTTCCCCTGAAAGCAGGAGACAGGGACTCTTTCCTAAGAGAATAAGGAAATGGAGAGAAAATCACTTTACCATGCAGAAACCAGGCCAACACCATCTTCACCAAGTGATCAGTGTGTCAACATCATCAGTAAAATCACCCTGTGCCAGGCACCCCAAAGTCTCACAAGGAGAAGGGCACGTCATCTCTGCAGGGTTCTTCCCTCAAGAGCCATAAGCTCAGTTTAGTCAGGAAACAACATCAGGCAATCAAGGAACATTCTACAGAATACCTGACCATTATTATTCAGAACATCAAGGTCATGGAAAGTAAAAAAAGAACTAATATTGGAGAATATTAGTAAGACATATTAACTAAATACTGTTGAGCGAGAACTCTTGAGACTGAAGATCTCTGAAAAAGCAGGGCTTACTGAGTTGTTGCAGATGCCAGGCAAAAAAAGGCGCTGTTTTCTGGGACACATATCCACAACTACCAGCAGCAAAGTAGACAAAAGTAGAAAACACGTCCACTAGATCTACAGCCAAGAGTATTTTTAGGACAGAAATTTAGGGAAGGAAAGCCTAAGATGTTTATAGTGAACCTAGACTGGCTGCAGAATAAGAAAGGCAGAGCATCAAATCAGGAAGCTCTGGAACAGGAGAGCAGCCCAAGGAGAGTCAATGCTGTGGACTGGTTGGGGCTAGGAGCCCAGGAATTGCATACTTGATGGGATTTGAGTACATGTTTCAACACTTGTTCAGCAATGTGAACTGGAATCCCCACAGCTGTTAAGTGATGAATTTCCTTGTCTCTGCCCTTCTCCATTCTCCATCCTTATAATTAAATTGTGGTCATCTTACCGATATAAAATGGTACTCTGAATTAGACCCTGGAACATAAAAAGGATAGTAGTGGAAAAACTCGGGAGATAATAATTTTTTTTTAATTTTAATATTTATTTTTTAGTTCTCGGCGGACACAACATCTTTGTTGGTATGTGGTGCTGAGAATCGAATCCGGGCCACACGCATGCCAGGCGAGCGCGCTACCGCTTGAGCCACATCCCCAGCCCATGCAAAATAATTTTAAAATTAAAAAGTTTTTTTTTTTTAAAGAGGGAACCCCACTTTGACATAATTTGAGAGGATTTTCAAACCTAAAAATAAATAGTAGCCTTAAGTGTCAAAGAATCTCTCAAAAATTGTAAAAATCACATCAGTCTTACATTCTTGCCTAACATAATACCTATGTTAAACCAAAACTCTAGAGAGACCCAGGAAGCTCTAAAATAAAAGGGCTTATTGAGCTATTATAAATGCTAGACCAAAAAAAGACCAGGTCTTGGGATAAGTTCCCACAACTACCAGCAGCAGAACTAGTTAGCAGTTAAGAAATATCCAGCAGATCAGAGCATTTACTATTATTTTTTTGTTGTAGGGCTGGGGACTGACCCAGGGTCGTCTTTGTGCTAAGCAAGAGCTCCACCACTGACCAACGTATACCAGCCACAAGAATATTTCTTATGACAAAAATAGGGAAGCATAGATGTTTGCATTGATATTACACTGGCTGCAAATGAGAGAGGTGAGGAAGAGCTGGGAAAACCTGCTGCTTCTGGATGGAGGGCACTGCAAACAGCATGTGGTGGGCCAGGGGTGGGGAAGGCATCAGAGCTCAGGTTTCAGCAGCCTTTCAGGAGTGTGCTGGCCTTAAATTACCACTGATGAGCCTCTACCTTTACTCCACTCCATCCTCCAACCCTTGCAACTAAACTCAGGACATTTTGAACTTTTTCTCTGATCACCAATAAAACCCGAGAACTTCATATTCAGACAAGTTGTTTTTTTTTTTTTTTTTTTTTAATATTTATTTTTTAGTTCTCGGCGGACACAACATCTTTGTTTGTATGTGGTGCTGAGGATCGAACCCGGGCCGCACGCATGCCAGGCGAGCGTGCTACCACTTGAGCCACATCCCCAGCCCCAGACAAGTTGTTGTTCAAATTAAAAACACTAGAAATAAGCCAGGCATGGTGGTGCCTGCCATAATCCCAAGGGATCTGGAGGCTGAGGCAGTAGGAACACAAGTTCAAAGCCAGCCTCAGCAAGACCTGTCCCTAAATAAAATATAAAAAAGGGCTGGGAATGTGTCTCAGGCTCAGTAGTTAAGCACTGGGTTCAATCCCCAGTACAAAAAACCAAAACAAAACAAAACAAAAACACTAGAAATATATATTATCAAGTATCACAAGCCTCGAGACATTTACTACCATAACTTTCTTACATAAGAACTTAAGGAAAAAGAGAGTGGCAGCAAGTTTCAACTAATCTAAGTATACAGAGCAGGAACACTGAATGGTTTGAAATGTGGTCAAAAAACTAACAAACACCACCTTCTAAGAAATAGAGGACTATGTGATGAAAGAGAACATGAACAAACACGGGAGGGAGGGAGTTTTGCACAAACCGCAGGAGGAGGGTGAGGAGGGTGAGGAGGGGAATGCCAAGTCCTCTATTTTCCCTGAAAATCATTAGGACAACTTGAATAAAACTCAGTAATGTCTTTGGAAAGATGAAATAAAGACAATTAAAACCAAATTCTCTACAGGGGCAAAAATCAGAATTGTAAGGAAATAGAAAGAAAAGAAAATCAGAATTGAAAGGAAATAGAATGAAAAGACAAGCAAGATTCTTTATGGACAAAGCACAGGTTGGAAAGAACAAGGCAAACCTGCAGCCAGCCAGCATGTGATGAGCGGCTTCTGCTTTCTTCTTTATGCCCTCAGCACTAAGCTTACTGCAATAAAACATCATTTCTTGTGCGTATAAAGAAGCTGGCATTGCCCAGAGAAAAGCTCTGGCCTGGGGTTGGGACTATAGCTCAGTAGTAGTAAAGTGCTTGCCTCGCATGTGTGAGTTCTAGGTTCGATCCTCAGTACCACATAAAAATAAATAAAGATATTGTGTGCTCACCTACAAATAAAKAAAGAAAGAAAGAAAAGAAAAAAGAAAAGTTCTGGCCTTTGTCCTGGTCTTCCAGAAGGTAATCTTGAGGTCCTTGGAATGCTATACCTAATGGGAGTACCCTTGCCTGGGCCCATGGTTCACAGTGGACAGTTGTGTATGTGTGTGTGTGTGTGTGCGCGCGCGCGCGCTTTGTTGGGGAATGAATCCAGGGGAGTTCTACTACTGAGCCACAATGTTTTATTTTGAGATAGGGTCTCACTAAATTGCTGAGGCTGACCTCAACCTGTGATCCTCTTGCCCCAGCCTCCCAAGTTGCTAGAATTACAGGCGTGTACCACCAGACTAGGTTTGCACCGTGGACTTAACTATGTGACTTAACTATGTGACTTAGGACAGAGGTTGGTCTAGTCTCTCAGCTTTAGGGTAGAAGTTGGTTGCTTGCAACAACTTTGGACTTCAAGGTTCGCCAGAGCTTCCCTGGTTGGCAATATTCTGTGCACATTGTCGCATAATGATTTCTGGAGAGTCATATGTCCTGATACCAAGGGAGAAGACAATGGAAATTTTGTGTCTGGTATATATCCTGGACTTTGCTCCCATTTTCTTCTTTTCTTGGCTATTTTTTTTTCCCTCCAGTACTGCAAATTGAACCAGTGGTGTTTTACCACTGAGCTATATCCCCAACCCTTTTAAATTTACCATTTTGAGATACGATCTCCATAAGATGTCCTGGCTAGCCTCAAACTTGCAATCCCTCTGCTTCAGCCTCCCAAGTAGCTACAATTTCAGGCATGGTGCCTGGTTAAATAAGAGATTTTTTAAATGCGGTGTTGAGAATCAAACCCAGGGCCTTATACATGCTAGGTATGTGCTCTACCATCTGCCACGCGACCAGCGCTGGCTTCATGAAAGAAGGTTCAATTCATAAGTAATTGCTAGGGAGTTTTAAATTAAAGAGACAAGACTCTCACTACCTTTAATACCAGCTCCGAGACGGCTTCTCCTAGCTCCCGTCTCCAGCCACCTAATGCAGTGGCGAGGTTTACAGAAGAGACTAGTGAAAGAGAGAGAACACGCCAGGGAGTGGGCTTTTATTGGGGAACGAAAAATTCAAGGGAAATTCCCATCCAGTGAAGGTTAAGGGGGGCAGCATCCCAAGGTCAGGGGCGACGATTGGGTCTTCAGGGCAGTGGCCAGGCACGCCTCTGCACGGACAAGCCCTCGGACATGGGAAAGGGTGGGGAAGGCTCTAACACAGCTGTGTCTAAGCACCTCTCACCCAGTCAGGGAGGTAACTCAAATCACGTGCGAGGATGGCCTCCCACACTACCACAGAACTGCATCCCCAGCCCTTTGGTCACTTTTCATCTGCATCCTTTCCCTGAAACACGGAGTAACTATAAATGATGGCTTTCATTGAGCCTAGTCCCAGGGAACCGTTGAATTTGAGGAAAGTTCAGGGGGTACAACGTGTTTACAAGTGAAGGCAGTCTTCCACTCCACTCCCTCTCTAAACAACAGAACCTGGGTTAYTGCCAACCCACTCCAATCAGGGAAGAGGCCAGCCATCAGCGGAGTACACCGCCTCCCAGCGGTGGCTTAGGCGGGCTTTAGCAGCCGGGCTCACCTCGTAGGTGATGGTGTTCAGGTTCTGCTGCCCAGAGCTGTGCTTGTTCTTCCCGCTTTCTTTGCGCTGCTCTTTCAGATCAGTTAGTAACTGGAACACCTAGGAAGAGACACACAAAAGATTCCTATAAATCTGAGAAATGTACCTACTACAAGGTTTCAAGGGGAAATAAGAAAGTCTAATACCTCCTTACTTCCTATAAACCAGCCTCTCAACTCTTGGTTTAGAGCAAATGCATCCCAGAAGCAGGTGACTTTTTTTAAAAAAACATTTTTTTTAGTTGTAGATGGACACAATATCTTTGTTTTTATTTATTTTTTTATGTGACGCCGAGGATTGAACCCCAGTGCCTCATGCATGCGAAGCAAGTGCTCAATCACTGAGCTACAACCCCAGCCCGCAGGTAACATTTTTAAGTGTTCTTTTATCTACACCGAATACATTCATTAGTTTAATTAAAATATTTCAAATGTTTCCTATCAATATATACTACATTACTGATTTTGATCTCAAAGCCATATTCACTATTCCAAAGTAAATGTTCCTAAAATAAATATTTTTTTAAAGGAGTCTGCCTAATACATATATTTAGTATAATTTCTTTCTATAAGAAAAAAATTGTTGGGGAGGTAGCTCAATGGTAGGGCACTTGTCTAGCATGTGCAAGGCCCTGGGTTCAATCCCTGGTCCCAAAACAAGAGAAAGAAAAAAAGAAAAAATTCTGAAGCAAGTGATAGTTCTTTTTTAAAAAACGGATGGGCTGAGAGTGTAGTTAGTTCAGTGACAGGGAGCTTGCCTAGCTTATATGAGGCCCTGGGTGTAGCTGCAGCACTCCTAAATAAATAAAAATCTAAAAATGCTATAGATGTTAAATAGTAAACTTTCCCCACAAAGAAAAAATATCTGCCTTAGTATTGGAATGGGGGTGGGTGGTCTGTCTTTCCTGTTTGAGAGTCCACCAGAAAGGTGAGGGCAATAGAGGCTCAGAGACCATAACTCGGTGCAATGCAAACCCTCCCTACCAACTAGTCCTTTCAGAAAGAGTGGCACAAGACTCAATGAATGTTGTGTTCCCCCCAAACACCACACCAAGTCCAAGCTGGACATGGAAATTCCTGAGAGCCAATGGCTTGGCCTCACCCCACTGCATTCCTATCACAAACAGCAGCCATGCAGGGTTAACCTTTAAGACCAGCATGCCCAACTGCATTTATTCTGCATACATATCAAGCATAATCCAGAGACCCAGGTTTCCTCCACATCTCCACAAGTCTGGCCTTTGACGGGATGTGCAGAAAACTGACGTGGTTCATTCTACACCTGGCACTAATCCATCAAATGGTTTTGCTAGTACCAAACAAGATCCAGGCAAAGCAGGAGGCAGGTGAAAATACCGTTATATTTCCCTTTCCTGTCTTTCACCAACAGCTCCACCCTCAACCCCCCAAAATTAAAAACCTGTTAATCTCTTATTAAATTATTCATAATGGTGAGGTGACTGAACTCTTACTTTCAAAATGAGGATGTTAATACCTTTGTGACTATTAAAGATCAAAGTAACATAAGCATGTTATAAATCAAGGATGATAATTAAGAAAAGGCATAAACCAGGCACAGTGGTGCACACCTGTAATCCCAGTGGTTCAAGAGGCTAAGACAGGAGGATCCGAGTTCAAAGCCAGCCTCAGTGGGGATGGGGTTGTGGCTCAGAGATAGAGCACTTGCCTAGCATGCGTGAGACACTAGGTTCGATCCTCAGCACCATATAAAAATAAAATAAAGGTGTTATGTCCACTTACAACTAAAAAAAGTCAGCCTCAGCAATTGCAAGGTGCTAAGCAACTCCGTGAAACTCTTGTCTCTAAATAAAATACAAAAACTAGGGCTGGGGTATGGCTCAGTGGTCAAGTATCTCTGAGCTTAATCCCCAGTACATTTAAAAAAAGAAAGGTATAAATGTTTTACTAGGAAACTTGTGTGGGCACTCAGAAATGGCTCTAAAACAAATGCTTCTGTTCCTTGAGGGCATTCCAAAAGATGACCTACAATCTCTGGGACTTAGGGAAAGGGACCTATTATAAACCAAAGTCTTACCAGACTCCCCAAAATACCAAGCTTAGAGTACTTCAAAGTCCACTAGATAGTGCCAATTGTCTTGTTTGAGAGTGGAAAATCCAAATGAATTCAATGATTTCTAATCAACAATCCTTACATCGAAGGGCAAGCAATCAGGAAGGGCAGAGAATGACCCACTGTAGAGCTATTTACCTCATAGTTACTGAGCAGTGCAGAGCTTGCATCCTTCCTGAAAAAGAAAAGAAGCCATCATCAGTCCAGGCTCACAGCCTTCCTGAGCGTTCTTCTTGTAAAATAATTCTGTTGCCAAGAGCTAGTCATCTAGTTCAGGAACCTAAAACTGAGAAACGTCCTAAGTCCTACATGTCTTATCAGGCTGAGGACAATTTCAGAGCAGACTGTCCTTTTTATAGCCACAGCATATCACACACCCATCAGCAGGCAGGTGACTAAAACACAACACTTATTCCAAACCCACGTAGGCCGGAGTTCAGCACTTGGGAAGTGAAGACGGTTGGACACCATGGAGAAGTGAACTACAGGAAGAACAGGAGGGCAAGACCATAGAGGATGGAGGGTTCAAGGAACAGTGACAGTGTGGGTGCCAGAGATGCCTGGAGAAACCAAGTGCCGCTCCCTTCTGAACCCAGGGTCCCTTCCCATTGGCCAACAGAAATGATCTGCCTGATAAAGTGTCCTACCTAACATCCACCAGGAATTCCAGCAATGGCCAGGAATCCTGTGAGACATCCACAAAACGTTAATGTGTTCATCCTCTGTCAACTCAACAGTCTCTACATCAGGCAGTGGTTAAAAGCCTGTTGCACCTGAGAACCAAACAGTGCAAACTATCATCTTTCATATATGACTGAACACAGCAATGTGACATGTCAAATTATAACTGATCTACCCTATAATATCACATCAGAAAGTATTTACTTTCAGAATCCTAGAGCCAGTGTAGTATGCCAATCCAGAACACAATTTTGAAGTCAGACATATTTGGGTACATAACCCAGCCCTACCATGTATAAGGTGTGTAAGTTTTAGTGCATCAATTTCTAAGTATATCCCTCTAAAACAAGAAATGGGGATAATTCCAAATCTGGAAGGGCAGCCTGGATTCTAAACCCAACTTCACCATACACTAGCTAAGTGAATCTGGGAGTTATTTTATAGTTATGCTTAAGTTTCCTATCTATAAAATACAAGTGTACACAGGATTAAACTGAAACAGGAAGAGTATCTGAAAACAGTAAGCTCCATAAAAGCTATTATTATCATTACTATGACTTTTGCCACCACCACTACCACCTCTTCCTATCTCATAAAACTGCTACGAGAAACTTTAAAAGTTTAGTACAGTTCTTGGTACTTACTAAGAGCTCTATAAATAAAGGCTATTAATATTTTTTTTTAGTTGTCAATGGACCTTTATTTATTTATATGCGGTGCTGAGAATTGAACCCAGTGCCACATGCTAGGCAAGTGCTCTACCACTGAGCTATAACCCTAGCCCCTTTTATTATTAAAAGATAATCACCCTTATTCTCACTAAAATTCCAGTGACACAGGAGCTATTAGTATGATCCCTACTTTATAAATAATGAAGCCGAGACTCAGAGATTAAGTAATCAGCTCCAGGTCACACAGTAAGAAGTCTAACTAAAAGTGGAAGATAACTACAGAATAGTGAAAAATGAGACTGGATTAGATGAATGGAAACCAGTAATCAGAATCCAGAAATTCACATTGGGTAGTCTGGATTTGACATAATRGGCAACAGGGACTACTATATATTCTTAAAATAGGAATGGAGCTAGACGATGAAAATGGCAATGACAAAACTTTAAAAGTGAGGCAAACAGATGGGTGATTTCCCCAGTCAATAAATACAGCAAAGCTGGCAGGTGCTTACCATGGGGACTTACCATGACCCAAGGTCATCAGCACACAAAACTTAGTCAAATACTAGCAGTAATTCAACAAATGGCTGCCGTTTCACAAATGTACTGCTTTGCCCAATAATCACACTGGACTCAGGTCACAAGCAATATTATTTTTAAAAAGAACCCAATCCAGGAAGGACAACAGTATTATGTGATATGGTTCATTTAAAATTGAACATGATAAACCAAACAGTGTCTACTTAATCAGGAAATCCACCACAAGGCTCCCTCCAGTCTTTGTCAGAAACTGAGTTACAACTCCCCATATTCTCAAAGGAGCATTTTGTACCTGTGATGTTAAGGCACTAAGACATTCCTTCTAGGAACAGTAGAATGGGGGAAAAGTACAAATGTCAATTTTCTTCAGGGCCAATGGATCCATCCCAGGTGCTGTTATTACAACTTCATTTCAAAAACAGACCCTGTCCCTCTATCATGGAGAATATTCCATTCCCTGATAGATTCATCCTAGGCCTTTCCAAGTTACTGCCCCACTACTCAGTCAATAGTTAGTGCAAGAATCCAAAGAATATAAGCTGCCTTTTCTAGGATATAGGAAGAGAAGGGAAATTCTCTTTCATATACATTTAATTTTTTGCAGTGCAGAGACTAAACCCAGGGCCTCATGCATACTAAGCAACTGTTCTACCAATGAGCTACCCCCCAGCCCCTTAACATACATTTTAATGAATCTATGTTTAAACTAGGAGAACAACAGATGTTTAAACAAGAACTGCATCTTGTACACTCTTGCTGGCAGAAGCTAATGCATTCATTTATCTTCTTTCATATAAATAATTTTTTACCCATTTATATGAGTATATGCCAAGATATGCTAGGCCTTCCTTTATTCAGTAAAATGTGGGTGAGGGCTGGTTGGTACTTCAGTGGTAGAACACTGCTTAACATCAACAAAGTCTGGTAAATTCCCCATTATTCCCCCACCCCTGTCCCAAAAAAGGCCAATGAATACAATTTCTGTCTTTTATGGAGGTCTAAATAAGCTATATACACTAGGAAACTCTTTTAAAGTAAGTTTTTAACCTCAAGGAGTTAAGTGACAGGTTGTTGGGAACAAGATATGAGATCAGACAGACATTAACTTAATCAAGTTATACAATTTAACAGCACCAATAATAAGGAGGTCATACACTGAGACACATTCCTTAAAACAACTCTACCAAAAAAAAAAAAAAAAGTTTAATTTGAATCTAATCATGAGAATTTAATCAGCTCCAAACTGAGGAACATTCTTCAAAACAGCAGCCTAGATTCTTCAAATATCAACATCATTGTCACAAGGCCAATGTCGCAGACAAAGCCTAAGAAAACTGTTGTAAAGAAGATGAAAGAATCATGCCAACTAAATGCAATGCACAATTCTTAACTGGATCCTGAAGCAGAGGAAAAAACCTCAGCTAAAATGACATTATTGGCTAAGAGAAGAAATGTGAATATGCACTGTTTTAATAATAGTAATTACATCAGTGCTTCAGTTTCCTGGGGGTGGCAATGGTGCTATGTTACATGAGATAATGCCCCTTTTCAATAAGAGGTGGGATAACATGAGGGCTACAACTCTCAGGTGATACAGTAAACTATGTGTGGCGGGGGGCGCGAGGGGGGGATATGTGGATGAATGCACTGAATGGAAAGACAGCTTGTGCGTATACAAATGAAAGATAGCAAACATCACATCAAGTGGGCTGGTGTTGTGGCTCAGTGGTAGAGTATTTGCCTAGCACGCATAAGGCACTGGGTTCAATTCCCAGGAGCACATAAAAAATGAACAAATAAAAGTATTGTGTCCACCTACAATCAAAAGAAATTTTTTTAATGTTTACAAGTAACTCTAGGTAAAGGGTATAAAGGTATTTGAGTGCCACTTTTGCAACTATTCCTTAGGTCTGAAATGTTTCAACCTAAAAAGTTGAGGAAAATGGACATGTAAAATAAAGAATTCATAAGGTTAAAAAAAGTCACTGCTATAATTTATAATTGACAATATAAAATACACTTCTATTCAATGCCTTTGAGAGCTCCAAAAAATCCGTCCTCTGGCGTGTTGTCAACTACACACTTAAAAAATGTTGATCCCTGCAGAGCAGGCACTTCTCTCCGAAGCCAAAACCTGATGTCATGAATACATTCACATGCGCTCAGACCTAGAGAAACTGCCCACCCACGCAGAAGTATGAAATTCTTCTGTAAAACTTAGTACTGATTTATAGGTGCTTAAATATTCCAAATGAATTTTAAAGACTGAATTTATACTCCTAGCTACAGTTTCCTTACATAATGACTTACTGGGCTGAAACTGATTATTTGAAATTTGACCTGTAAAATCTATTTAACTTGCTGAGTCAATTTAATGAATGTGAACAACTACTGTGGAAAACCAAATTCTAAATAAACAGTACAAAATGATCTATTGACAGATTTTCCTTAAAAGCACACAAACAAAAGCCCACACAAACAGCGTCCACTAATTGCCACACAGTTAACTTACGAATGCAATGACGAACAGAATTGCTCAATTTCCATGTTCAACCTATGCTATCATTTCATGTTTTCAAAAGTTAAGCTTTGGTACAAGAAAGCTACACAGGCTTCAAAATCAGATGTCAGCTGTAGCAGCATCTCTGAAATCAACCAGCAAGCCTCCTCTTTCCAGGCCTGTTACTGAATCACTACCTACATACTAACTTTCGACCCTCAGTATTTTTAGCTATAAAAAATAGCTAGGGGGATAGTAGAGGATAGGAAAAGTAGCAGAACACAACAATTACTAATTGGGCATTATGTAAAATTGTGGATGTATAACCGATGTGATTCTGCAATCTGCATTTGGGGTAAAATTGGGAGTTCATAACCCACTTCAATCTAATGTATGAAATATGATATGTCAAGAGCTTTGTAATGTTGTGAACAACCAATTAATAAAAAAAGGGAAAAAAAAAGTGGAAGAAATCCTGAAAAAATCCTCAAAAAATGACACGAATGACAACAGTATCCATTTTCTTTACTCTGCGCACTAAGTTCAAGAGGAAACAAAGAGCTTTCCAGGTACACAGATGATTCCAAAGAACCAGACAAAATTAGCTTAACAGTAAATGCCTCATAAAGAACAGTTCTTAATCTTGCTATGACTATTTTTTGTTCTTTTACCTGAGGACATCACTTCCCAACAATGATCAAGAAGCTGGTTGCTCACACTGGGCATGATGGCACATGCCTATAATCTCAGTAACTCAGGAGGCTGAGGCAGAAGGATCATGAGTTCAAAGCTAGTCTCAGCAACTTAACCAGGCCCTCAGCAACTCAGCAAGGCCTTGTCTCTAAACAAAATATTTTTTAAAAAGGGGTTAGGGATGTGGCTCAGTGGTTAAGTATCCCTAGGTTCAATCCCCGGTACAAAAAAAAGTTGTTTGCTCATAGAGCTGTTAAACTTGCTGTGGGGCTGGGGATGTGGCTCAAGCGGTAGCGCGCTCGCCTGGCATGTGTGCGGCCAGGGTTCGATCCTCAGCACCACATACCAACAAAGATGTTGTGTCTGCTGAAAACTAAAAAATAAATATTGAAAAATTCTCCCCCCCCTCCTCTCTCACTCTATCTTAAAAAAAAAAAAAAAAAAAAAACTTGCTGTGACTACTTTATGTTCTTTTACCTGAGACACTATTTCCTAACAATGATCAAGAAGTTTGATTTTTTTTGGCAGAGCTGGAGATTAAACCCAGGGCCTCATTCCAGGCAAGTCATGTACCACTGAGCTACTGAGCTATACCCTCAGCCCTGCCTCGTCAAGAAATTTTTAAATTATCATTTAGTCAAATAAATATACATGTTTAGGCCTGGTGCAGTGGTGCTTGACTGTAATCCCAGCAGCTCAGGAAGCGAAGGCAGGAGGATCACAGGTTCAGAGCCAGCCTCAGCAATTTAGCGAGGCACTAAACAACTCAATGAGACCCTGTCTTTAATAAAATATAAAATAGGGCTGGGGTTGTGTGTGGCTCAGTGGTCAAGTGCCCCTGAGTTCAATCCCTGGTACCCAAAATCAAAAATTTAAAAATAAATAAACATACATGTTTAAGAAACTTCTGAAATATGTGTGTGTTATTTACTCAGTGGGTATTTACATCATAACTGAAGAAAAAAGAAAAACCTCAGGAAAGTTTTTCCCCTGTGCCTCCTCACTTCAGGTCCCTGGAGTGCCCTCAGAATCTCAGGATTCTACTGAAGATGCTGTAGACCAAACTGCCAGAGGTCACACTTCATGCTGGAGGCCACACAGAACTAGAAGTGAGGCCTCTTGATCCCTCCACTACAAAACCACTTTATCTACCCCAGCATACTTCACTTTCTATAAGTTGATAGCTGAAAATTTCTTGAATGTTTTCAATAAGCCAATAACTTCTTGGGAGAAACTATCAGGTTGCTATAGGAGTAAAAACCACTGACTTCATCTGTTTCACTCAGGAAAATCAGAAAATCTATATGCCCACCAGTCAGGATGCTAGCCAGTTAATTTATATTTATTAAACTAACACTGTTATATTTCTATATTCAACACACATTTTCTGAATGCCTATTCTGTGGTGGATGCAGTGCTAAGCACTAGGTGAACAGATACCAGTCCCAGCCCTTATGGACTAGGGAAGTAAACAACCATCTATTATTACCGTTACAATTATTTAAGGGAAAAGTGAACCGAGCAGCTATGAGATAAAAAAGAAGACTTATTTTGGACTGAAAAAATAGGGTGGGTAACCTTGAAAAGGGACATTCAACCTGAATAAGGGAAAAGGCAGGAGAAAAAGTATACAGTCAGAAAGAAGAGCAACACGAAGATCTGAGGCAGGAAAGAGCTTGGAAGGGCACAGGAACTACCTATTAAGCAGGAAGTGTGTGTGTGTGTGTGTGTGTGTGTGTGTGTGTGTGTGAGAGAGAGAGAGAGTGTGTGTGTGTGGTGGAGGAAGGGAGGGTGGCAAGAGATAAGGCTGAATTAAGACAGCAAGGGATGTACATTCCTCTAAGTGCAATGGAAGGCCACTGAAGGGTTTTATGCAGGAGGTGACCTGGTCCAGCTAAAGTTTAAGATCACTTTGGTTGTTGTGTGGAGAATAAAATGGAAAGGGTGGCAAGGGTGAAAGCCAAAAAGGCCAGTGCTAACCCAGACCACGGAAGATAGACTCCAAGGCTGGGTGGAGAAGGTGGAAAGGAATTGCATTTAAAATGTATTCTAAATTCAAATTGCATTCTAAAGTTTAAATAACAAATTGGCTGTTAGGAGTGAGGAAAGAGGAAGATTGATTGATTGATTGATTGATTTTTTATTTATTTATTTATTTATTTATTTATTAATTAAATCTAAGCAATCCAGCAGATGATAAAAGCCAGAAATACACTTTAGGGAACCATTAGCATATGGATGAGTAAAATGACAGAGCAAATGTGAAGAGAGGGGTTCCAGGACTAAGCCCTAAGATATCTCAACATTTAGACACAGAGCAAGGGAAGAGACAGGAAAAGATGCTGAGAAGTAGTCCGATGCACAAGGAAGTCCAGGAGTCATAGAGTTTCTAGTTTGTCTATCAACTGCTGAGTGATCAAGACAGTTGATGCCAGAAAAAAGAATCTTTGGATTTGACAAGATGAAGTGCTCAGATCGTCTTCACAGAAGCCATTTTAGTAGAGAGAACCAAAGTCCAACAGAATGGTGGACAGAATAAGGGGATAAACAATACTTTAAGAAATTTCGTTGTAGGCGAAGAAAAAAAAAAAGGGCTGGGGATGTAGCTCAGTGATAAAGCACCCCTGAGTTAATCTCCAATACCCAAGCAGAAAGCAGATGGGAAGCAGAAACAGAGCTACAGGTAGATATGAATGTGGGGACAAGAGATTTTAAGTTGGACAAATTAGAGCAAATCTGTATGCTGCCAGAAAATGTTCTAGAAGAGGGAGAAATAAATAATGACAACTTCAGACTAGTGTATTATACAGTCAGCCCTCCTGATCTGCAGGTTCTGCATCCTTGGATTTAACCAAGTGCAGACCAAAAATATTAGCAAAAAGTGTCCATACTGACATTGTGCACACTTTTGTCATTATTCCCTATGCAATACAACTACTCCCATAGCATTTACTAGCACTTACTGTGTAAGTAACCCAGAGATGATTTAAAGATTATGGGAGGACGTGCAATTATAATTCCCCAGCAAATTCTGCGCCATTTATATACCATGTTGAGTGTCCCCGGATCTGAGGAATCTGCAGAAAGGAGACTACGGGTGTCTTTCAAGTCCCAGGTTAGACCTCATCAGTGGGTTAAACACTTTTTGGTGGGTCGATACTTTCAGTAAGAGAATAGATGACGTCAAAATATTGCAGCAGGACAAGTGTTGGTTCGGGAAACTTTCTCTTTGAGCTGCACGAACACAGTGTCAAAAGAAAAAAGCAGGGGCTGCAGGCGCGGCTCGGGTCCCCCCATCGGGCCCTGGGACTGACGCCCGCGCCGGGGACGGTCTGAGACGCGCAGTTCACCTGCGCACGCAGCAGGGGGCCCGCGGACCCGAAGGCCGCCGCCGAGGAGCCCCGGGCTTGCTGCCCCGCCCCGCCGCGCTGCCCACTCCGCCAGGGTCCCAGGGCGGCTTACACTTCCATGTTGTTCGGCTTCACCACGGCGGCCACTCGTCGCGCTGCTGCCTCTGCGATGAGGGACCTCGGGCTCCGCGCGCCGCAATGCAGGCCGGGAGGGACGCGGTGCACGGCGGGAGCGCGCGGTGCACGCCGGGAGGGCCGCGCTGCGCCGAGCCGGAGCCTCACGCTGCAGGTCGGGGGCGCGCTCCGCACGCCGTCCCCACTACTGCGCGTCAGAGCCGTCGGGGGCGCGCGCTCCAGCGATTCGGGTGGACTCTGCCTTTCGCCCCGCCAGAGTGCTGCCCKGTCCGTGGCGGGGCCTTGTATGCGCTGTCCAGGTTTCATTAAAGCTATGACAAGCCGGCCCCGTGCGAGCCACAGCAGCCGCGGGACCCTTCCCAGGAAAGAGGCTGGGCTCGTGGCGCAGTGCGGCGTGGGGAAGCCGGGAGCCCKGGGCGGGAGAGTGGGCAGTGCACTGCGCTTTTCTGCTTGTTAGTCGGATTAAATGTTAAAGAAATCTCCTGCAGTCGAGGAAGCAGCGCGATCCAGGGGTAGCTCAGTTACACACGCTGAAACACGGGAGGGCCCAGATCTGTAGCGAATTCCGCTGCAGTTGGTATTCTCCATACTTGAATGTGCCGCATGTGCACAGGGAGGGAAAGAAAATACCATGGCGCGCTGTAATCGCCATATTGCACGTGGAAAATACAATGCCTTAAATAAAACTATGTAAAATTGGCAAGCCGAGCGCGGTGGCACACGCCTGGAGTCCCAGAAGCTCAGGAGGCTGAGGCAGGAGGATCGCGCCAGACCCTGCAGCGGGTGTGGCGCAGTGGTTCAGCTCTGGTTCAAACCTCCCCACCAAAAAACGGGCATAGAAAACAAATGCCTAGGGATAGGGAGAGTTGGGTGGAGGCTAGTGTCCTCATCTCACTACTTTTTGTGTGTTTGGAATATTCCCCTTGGGGAGTGAGGCTGCGCCAGGGGTCTCCAGTCTCCGAAGGATGAGTCCAGGCCGTGGGGGGGCGTGGGGGGGGGGGCTTTTCATACTTTCCTGTCCGGACCTTTGCCAGTACTTAGTACCCGTTCCTCTGAGGGGACCTTTCGCAGAGCTGGGGTGGAGCCCAAGGCCTCGCCCCTGGCAGCCTACTGTCTGCCTTCTTGTGATCCGCTGGCCTCAGCCCGGGGCTTACCCCCAGGGTGACCCTTACAGGGTGCTGGGCACGCCACAGGTTGCTTACAGGTGCTGATACTGTCGCAGGACGATCATGACACGCTATGAGTAAATCCACAATTATGCATATTTTGTGATTGGAGAAATCGTGGCAGGCTTGGAAAGACTGATTTACCCAACTAAGGTCACTCAGCCGGAATTTGTCTCAGAGAAACTGAACCCCAGGTGATCTGAACAACATAAGTAGTGTCTGATGATAGGATAAACAAAATGTGCCAGATTCATACAGTGGAATACTATTCATCAATAAAAAAGGATGAAGTACTRTCAAATGCTACTGCACAGATGACCCTCAAGACATGACCCTAAGRGAAGGAAGCTAGCATGACAGGGCCACATCTGGAATGATTCCATACRTGAAACGTCCAGGAATAGGCAAGTCTACAGACCTAGAAAGTAGATGAATGGCGGGTAAAGGTTAGGAGGAGGCTGGAGCCAGAGAAGTGGATTGACAGTGGAAACAGTGTCTTTGTGGGGAGATAAGAATGCCCTGAAATGGGGCTGGGGTTGTGGCTCAGTGGTAGAGCACTGCCTAGCATACATGAAGTACTGGGTTCCATCCTCAGATCCACATAAAAATCAAGGTATTGTGTCCACCTACAACTAAAAATATGTATATATTTTAAAATTCCCTAAAACTTTTGGGGGATGATTACACAACCCTATGGAAATACTAAAAAAAAAAAAAAAACAATGAGTTGTACACCTTAAGTGGGTGAACTGTATGGTGTATGAATTATGTATATCAGTAAAACAAAAATTGCACTGGTATTGTGTCCGGAAATTGATTAGAAGAAAGGATTTTTAACATTTAATTTTGTTTACTCTGTATTTAAGATTTTCAATAAACATGTTATTTGAAGCTTCAAAAAYGTTTTAAAATTAATTTACTTTGAATGACTTTTAAAGTCAACCATTGAATAAAATCACCCCCAGCCCAGTGGGGTGGGTTTGCATGGGATCCCGAGCCTCCAGGCCTCCAGAGCAGTGCTGAGGAGGCTCCCTGCATTCTGCTCACCTGTGGTGACAGCTGTCAGATGCAGATGTCACAAGCATGAGTGACACCCTCTGCCCTGGCCGGCTGACGGCCTGGTTGAGGAACCAGCTCTGGACACAGATAACCCCGCACACCAGGTTTGACCCGATGGGCAGGGAAGGCGTGACTAATGGGGCAGGAGGCGTCCCCACGCCAGGAGTGTTGGAGGGGGCGGGGAGGAGCTCCTGTGGAAGAGAGCAGGTGCCTCAGGGCACCCGAGACAGCCAGGGGTGGCTCAGGGTAYGGATTAGAGAAGGGTCAAGTTCAAGTGGTGCCCGCCTGGGTACCTGCATACCTAGGCACCTGCATAGCTGGGTACTTGCCTGAGTGGGCACCTACTCAGCTGGGTACCTGCCCACGTGGGCTGCCTACCTAGGCACCTGTCTGCCTGAGCACCTGCCTGCCTAGGCACCTGCCCACCTGTGTCGCCTGGGTACCTGCCTACTTAGGCACCTGCCAACCTGGGTACCTGCCACTCATGCATCTACCTGTCTGGGCACCTGCCCACCTGTGCCCTCCTGGGTACCTGCCTACTTAGGCACCTGCCCACCTGTGCCTGCCTGGGTACCTGCCTACTAAGGCACCTGCCCACCTGGGCACTGCCTGCCTAGGCACCTGCTCATCTGGGTACCTGCCACTCAGGCATCTACCTGCCTGGGCACCTGCCCACCTGTGCCCGCCTGGGTACCTGCCTACTTAGGCACCTGCCTGGATTCCCAAACAGAAGCTGTGTTCTTCGTGGACCCTCCCAGCTTGCTCGCTGTCCCCGTGGACCCTCCTAGCTTGCTCACTATCCACGTGRACTCTTCCAGCTTGCTCAGTGTCCACAGGTGCAAAACACTGCCTTTTCTGTGGGCCGCTGAGTGCCCCTCCCAGCCGCCTGCTGGGTAGACCCAGGTGTCTCTGGTTTTCCCGTGCACTCACACGGTATACACCCCAGCACATGGGGACCTGGGGACCCTCGGTGGCCACCAGGGCCTCTGTGGGATGTCTGCTAGCTCATTAGCAGGGCTGGCTATGGTTGTTCCCAGCCCCGAGGCACAGCCCATTGCCCTGGACACCTGAGGCTTCCTGGGTTTATCCTCCTTCTCTGGCTGCTGGAGTCCCAGGGGCCTGGTGGGAGGCACGAGGTGACAGTCACAGTGTTCCACTCAGGACTGCCCCGTGGCCTTCGACCAAGCAGGACGTGGCTCTGCACTGGGGAGGTGCTTCCTTCCTGGAGCCCACTGGTCCTGCGGGGGCTGCTCCTCCCATCAGCCCTCCCAGGCAGGCTGCCTCCTGGGCCTGCTGCAGGTGCTTCCCAGCAAGAAGTGCCCCGGCAGTGCCTGCCGCTTGCCCTGCGAGGAGTGCACCATGTGGCTTGTCTGCCCTGCGAGGAGTGCTCAGCAAGCCGCGTGTGGCTTGGTCTGCCTGTGAGGAGTGTGCCAGGAAGCCCCGTGTGGCTAGGTSGGCCCTGCAAGGAGTGCCCAGCAAGCCCCGTGTGGCGGGTCTGCCCGCGGTGATATTGGTAGCAGGCTTGGCCTGGAGTCTGGCCCCAGGCGACCCCCTTCGTGGCCTTGGGCAAATCTGCAAGTCTTCTCATTTCCCTATAGAATGGTCGCGATAGCCGGTGCACGGAGAGGGTGAGAGTGACAATAAAAAGCCGGGTTCTGGGTTCTGAGCTACTTCCCGCCCACCTGGAATACGCGCTGGTCTGGGGCGTGGTCTGTGAACTGACTGCAGGAAGTCACTYTGTCCTGGGCCACAAGAGGTGTCGCACCCCAGAGAGCTGCAAYCCCGAGGGCCCTGGGCCAGCCTACCCGCCCAGCGTCCTCTAGACCACAGTACTGGGGGCACAGTCACCCTGGAGACGCCCACCAGCCCCAAACCCAGCAGYCCCAGCCAGAGAGTCTCCAGGCCCAGGCACAAGATGGAGATGGGGAAGCCTGGGAAGGGCCGCGGGCACCCTCACAAGGACAAAACCCTCCGAGGGAGCCGTCCAGCCCCTGGGACTATCAGAGGCAATACGCTGGTCCCCTGCCTGGTTCCTTCTACCATTTCACTTTTCTCACCTGCAGTCAATCACAGCCWGAAAATATAAAATGGAAAATTCTAGCAATGAGCAATTCATAAGAATTTTTTGTTTGTTTTGCTACCAGGGATTTAACCCAGAGGCATTTCACCACTGAGCCACATCCCCAGCCCTTTTATTATTTTTTTTATTTAGAGACAGGGTCTCTCCAAGTTGGTTAGGGCTTCATTAAGTTGCTGAGGCTGACTTTGAACTTGTGATCCTCCTGCCTCAGCCTCCAGAGCTGCTGGGATTACAGACATGTGCCCCTGCACCCAGCATAAGTAAATTTTTAAAATAAATTTTATTACAGTATATTGACATAATCACTATTTTACATTAGCTGTTGTTGACCTGTGTGGCTATTCTGTAGGTGTTTGTCTGGGAAAGATCAGGGGATGGGCAAGGGTGGTGGCACCTGCAGTCTAGGGGTCMGGTGTGTCCCCTGCATGAGGGGACCATGGCAGTGATCAGGACAGCCATTGCACACTCGGTCTGCCCTGACAACAGATGGCAGGGGGTACACACGTGGAACACTTGGCTCCTGAAACGCACCAAATAAATAATAGTCCTAAAAGTTATCCTCCTTACTTCCACMGCCCTGCCTGCCCTGGCCCCAGGGCCTTAACTACCACTAGCARCACCATCCTGTTGGGCACTCAGAGCCAGTCAGACTCAGCACAGGCCACTCCTCCTCATGCCCAGGGCCTGGGGGTCACTATCTACCTTTGACTGAGTGCGGAGGGTTGAGTAGCTCACCCAAGAGTGTGAGCCTCCATCCATGCTGC